AAAACCCAAAACAACCCCCAAAAAAGTCTGCATGAAAAGCAAGCAACTCAGAAGGAAATCATAGCAGCAAAAAGGAGTATAAATGGGATGAGTCCACTTCAGTCTCCAGTCATTGGTTATTAAAAATAACCTCCAACCAGCACGGGCAACTGCTGATGAACTGTCTGGTGTAGCACTGGCCCCAACCTTTGACAAAGCTGATCTGAACGGTGAAACCCGTCCAGGGCTGTTGGGTGAACTCGTGGTCGTTGGGTCTCTGCAAGCTGTAGGCCTTCTCGTAGTCGAAAGCTTTGATGGAAAACCCAGGGAACACTTTGTGAACCAACAACGTCCTGGAATCGGGGTTGTCCAGTGTGGCCGACTTGATGAAGATGGGGTAGCTGCTCCTGTTGTAGACCCACACGCCGTCCACCTCCTTGGTGAGTTGGATCCCGTAGCCGATCTTGCTCCGGACCTTCTGCACCAGTTGGCTTTTGTTGGCCGAGTTGAGTTGGCCCAAGCAGAAGCCGTTCCCCTGAGGTAGATCGTAGAAGATATCCAGGGAGGGCTCTTGGACAGAGTACAGCCGACCCACGCGCGTCTTCTCCTCCCAGTAGGCCACCACGCACCAGTGTGACCGATCCCCCGGCTCCTGAAGAACTTGGGAATCTACACAAGGGGAGAAACCAAGAGGTTGAGCACCTTGGGAAGAACACAACCCAAAAGAGACCTGGTATGGGCCTACCTAGGTCTTTGTGGTGCTTTCCACAGCACATCCACCGTGCCCAAAATCCATCTTGTTAAGGTCGCTACCAAGACCAAGAAGTTGACCCAGATTTGGGGGTTTCCTGCAATGCTTCAGGGCCCAGCTCTGGTTGGAGTTGTGGGCCCTACGTCACCAGGTCCACCTTCAGAAGTGGCTCGGGCCACCCCCAGCAGCACCCACAGCCCAACCATCCCTCACTCAAACCTTCACTAGGATGTTCAGTGCCACCAGAAAAGACAAGATGCTCCAGCCAGCGAGACCAAACAGCCTAAAGCCCTTGATCTGCACCTACTAGATGATGGAACCTTTTCCACAAATAACCACCTGCCACGCACAGAAGCTGGAAAACAAGAGATGCTGCCAAGAAAAGCACATTGAAGGCCACCCCATGGGACCAGAAGGGACAAGGACCCATCTGCTCTCTCATCCATGGGGCTTTTCCCTGCCTCCAGCCACAGCATGGATGATGAAGAGGATGGAGATGCTGGATGAAGCCCCGGGTGAAACCAAGGATGGGGGTTTTGGTGGCATGAGGGGGGTCCCTGGGATAGGTTGTCCTCCCACATCCCCGTTTTGGGTCCTCCTGAGGTTTTGGTGTGGATCATTTGATATCCTGCTCCAACTTGGCACCGTGTGAGGGAGCGAGGTGGGACAGGGTGGGAGGCTTGGGTGACCTCCCCCCTAACCCAAATGAGGTGCTCCCCACCCAAGGGTGCACCCAACAGGGCAAGGAACACCTCCAGGATGGTGTTTCCACCAGCCAGCCAGGAGAGGGAGGAATCTGGGGGCTGATGCTCCTGGATCAGGGTGGGGGGACCCATCTGGAGCCAGGGGGATGATTTCCTGGATCAGGGTGGTGGGACTCATCTGGAGCCAGGGGGATGATGCTCCTGGATCAGGGTGGTGGGACCCATCTGGATCCAGGGGGATGATGCTCCTGGATCCAGGGTGAGGTTTCCTCTGGATCCAGGGGGATGATGCTCCTGGATCTGGTGGAAAGAGGGGGGAGCAGTTCTCCTAGATCCAACAGGGATGATGCTCCCTGATCCAGAGGAGGAGAATTCTCCCAGATCCAGTGGGATGATTCTCCTGCACCCTGAGGAAAGTGGGGGATGCTTCTGGCTCCATCCCCACCTCCAACTACCCACCACCTGTCTCCACCAACTGCCCCCCAGTGCCACTCAAGAGCTTTTTGGGGTCCTTTTACAGCAGTGGAGGAGATTTTGGAGCACGAGCCACTGAACCTCGTGGCAACCCCTCCACGTTTTTATTGATTTCAAGATAAAAGTGTCCCTTTCAGAAGGAGAAGGGAGAAAAAAAAGGACTTTTTCACCTAATATTTGTGCTTGCATTAGTGAAGACCACTTGACAAGCAGCTCACTGCTGCTTACAAAGAGTCATTTAATTGCCAGCACGTTAGAGAAGAAAAAAAAAGCTTTAAAAAACCAAAAAAAAAAATCAAGAAAACCATCTTGGCTGTGAATGAACAGACCTTTATAGAGGGCTGGAAGTTCATGAATGAATCCTCCCAGGTTTTTTTTTTCAATGACATGGGGTGACCAGACCTCAAGGACAAGTCTTAGGTAATCTGGGATATTTTTCTTGAGGTTTTTTTTTTCCTCCTTTAGTTGTTTTTTTTTTCAGGAGCCAATGCCAGGACACAGGAGGAATGATGCCAGAGCCTCTTCCGTTGGCAGGCTTGGGCTGTTGACTGGCTGTCTAGTCCAAAAGCCACGAGGATATAAAGCTGGAATTGGGATAAACAGGCCCAAGCTTCCCTGCCAGCCCCCACCCCAGCTGCTTTTCCCAGTTGTTGGGACCCCCTGATCCTGGAAAGAGGTGGGAAGAGCTGATGGCATCGCTCAGAGCCAGGAGAAGAGGAAAAACTGACTCTGAGAGGCTTCCTAAAGGGATGGGGATTTTTTTTGGCCTCCTAAAGGGGTTTAATTTTGGTGGCAACGTGTGGGGAAATGAAGCCAAGAGATGCACTTTGCCCCCAAAACCCCTCCCTGGGTTCATCTGGACCCCCTCAAAAAAACAACCCCCTAAATCCTGGCAGCCAAATCCCCTCCTGATAGAATCACAGAATGCCTGGGGGTTGGATGGGACAAGGCTTTGGGATTCTTGTTGAGGAGTTAAAAGCCTGGGGTTTTTTTTTCCTACGAGCTCCTCAGAGCAAACCCATCCCTTTCCAAAGGCCTGGAAAAGTCCCAGGGACCTGGAAAGGTTCCCACAGTCCAGCAAACAATGATGATGTTGAATGCTAGAAACATCCCTGCTATTCTTTTGCTCTTAGCATCCCTCCCCCTTTGCTGCTCTCGTGGGTTTCTTCTCATTTTTCCACGGTTCCCCCTCCCCAACGACACATTGTGCAAAGTTACTGTGAAAAAAAAAAAAAGACAAGAAAAGGACTTTGCCCTCAAGAATTCAAAGAATTGGGTCTATGGATCCATTTGAGTGGAGCTGACAGAGGCAGAGGAAGTTTCTGCATGGAATGGAGACACTTGAGGCAATAGTTGGAGAGCTTCAAGTCTTTGGGGTGGTCTTATGGTGTGGGTGGTGCTGGAGATGGCAAGGCCTGAGCACCAACACGTGCCCATGGGAAAGGGATTTTTTTTCACCATCATTTTCACACCTGCCCTGACTTCTACCAGCACATCTCATGGTGATGAAGGTGTCCTCCACACAAGCACCATCCCAGCTGCTTCCCAACCAGCAGGAGAGGCTGGGAGGTTGCCCACTACGCACCTTGACCCTGAGGAACATCAAGTCCTGCCCAAAACTGCTCAATCAAAGGCCACAGCCTGGGTTTCTCCAGCATCAACACGCTGGCTGTGGGCTCAGATGAGGTCCAGATGAAGGTGGGCATGGGAAGATGACTCCAAATGATCAGTGACAGCCCTACACTTGGTCCTCCCAAGCCGTGGCAGGAGGACTCACATCTCCCACCGCTTGGGAAGGGCCAGAGAATTTCTGGTGTGGCTTTTCTCCTCGACACAGGAACACTGTTAAGCTGATGAAACCATGTCATCTGTACTTTTTCTTTCCAAGCTCTGGCAGTTTTATTAGAAGTTTGGGAAGAAAAAGTTCTTCTGTTTTTTTTTTTTCCACTGAGGAAGAAGCAAAAAAATTCAACCCGATTGAGTTGAAAACACACACAAAAAAAACCTCAACCCCAAAGCAACCAAAGCAGCTTCTGGATCTCAGCCTCGTTCCCTTGCCAAGTTCATGAACACAGAAGGATGGTGGGCTTGGGATCTTTTGTTTTGCTTTGTTTTGTTTTGCCCCAGCTCAAGGTTCTCCTGTAATCAACCCAGCTCTGAAGGAAACACCAAGTTTAGCACCCCGCTGAGCTGTTGGCCCACCAAGACTCCTCCCCTTGGATCAAGTCAAGAGCTCTTTAAGTTGTCACTCAAACCCGTGACCACAAGTCCTCCCTGAAAATGAGACTCTGTCCTCCTGAGGAGGTTTTTTGAATTGGGATCTTTCCTCTGGATGAGGTGGAAATTAAACCATCCAACTGTAGAAGTCTTTCTACTACATATTGATACTTTAATATAGAGATTTAGAGATTATTTTTTTTAAGAGAAGTTTTGACCCAAAGCATCTTCTCATGTTCTTTCTAAACTTCTCACCATCACTCCCCACTCCTCTCCTTCATTCTTCTGTGGTCCCTGGGGTTGGATTTCCCACCAAACCCTGAAGCAACACTCACCAGGGCATCATCTACCCTGCCCTGTTATCAACTCTCCTCATTTTCATAGAATCAAAGAAGGGTTTGGGGTTGGAAGGGACCTTCCAAGGTCATCCAGTCCAACCCCCCTGCAGGGAGCAGGGAACACCTGCAACAAGAGCAGGTTGCTGAGGTTCTGTGGTACCTTCACCTGGGCCACTTGTGGAGTTGACACTGCACACACCACCGACAACCCAACAGGCAACAGAGAAACAGATGTAGATGTCCACCAAGAAATCACAGCTCCAAAAGGGAGACTGGTCTCAGGGATCTCTTCTAGGAGGACCAGAACCCAAATGGGAGCTCCTGGGGCAGCATGGAGACCTGGGAGGGGTGGTGAGATCCCTGCCTGACTTCCCAGGAGGCAGCTTTCTGCTGGAGAACAAGCGATGTGGGCACCACCGTTGAGAGGATGACCCCGTGGTCCTTCCTCCTTTATCCCTCAGAGCTCTCTGAGGACATCTGTGCTTAAAAAAAAACCCCATGGGCTGGACTGGAGTCAGCACAACGTGTCATCTGGCCAGGGCCAAGGCTGAGACCAAGCTCAGCGTGTCTCACACCCAGTAATCTCTCTTGGCTGACCTCAGGTGGCATCTGCAAGCTCCGGGCAGAGTCATGCCCCCCCATCTTCTCCTGCTCAATGAGTTGGAAGGGATGGAGACACAAGCCCTGGAGGTTTTTATGGGGTTTTGCATCTTCTCTTGAGGGTCCTCAGGGCTGTTATTGGTAAGTGCTGCTTGAGCAGGATCTCAGGAGAAAAACACAGCCCTGAACTCTTCCTCGAGAAGCCACCAGGCAGGACAACAAGGTGAGGAGAGCACCAAGCCCGACGTGAAACCACCCAGCTCATCAAAGCAAAGACAAACGGGCACCAAAAAGGGAAATTTTCCTTCCTTTCTACTCTCTTGGGTCATTTCCAGGCTCCCTGGGTGGGGGAACAAACCAACCAAAAAAAAAAACCCAGAAAAAAATCCTTCAAAGCCAGATTTGGCTCCTGCAGAAAAGGGTCTTTGTGCCTTCAAGGGTTTGTGGGCAAGCCTGGAGACATCACCACCCAGGGCAACGTTTGCCCCCAACCTTTCCTACCTCCCTGCACCCCAGGGCTGGACAGCTTCAGCCTCCTCACCACCCCCCCCTGCTTTGGATGGCTGAAGGGCTGATTTTGGGGAG